GCCACGTTGCGGGAGAAGTCTTTACCCCCTTGGGACACTTGAGCAACTTCTGTTCAAAATACAGATGCCTCATATGGTTCAAACTTGTTGTTGACTCACCGCTTCACAGTACTTGACCTTTACAGCCAAATCTTTCACCGGCAATCGAATGCCCATAGAGTAGCATATTAACGATTAAAGCCACCTTAGCTGACGCTCTGTTGCACGGTCGCCTGCGTGTGATCAGCGATGGATCCTTCAAGAACGAGTTGGGGACCGCGGCGGTTCAAATCCTGGTGAAGCATGGAGGATGCCATCATATCATCATCCGGTGTCAGACTCCCGGTTTGCCCCAGGACCAGAGTCCATACCGCAGCGAGCTCATTGGTCTGTTGGCCGGTATAATGGCGGTCGATTGGCTCCTTGAGCAATGGTTCCCAAAAATTTCGATCGAACCCAAGGTGCGGATTGCTTGCGACGGCCTCTCTGCTATTGAGATGGCTTTCGAAGACCGTCCACTGTCTCCAACTGATGCTCAGTTTGACCTGGTATCGTCCATTCGGAAGCGATCCTTCGGTCCTCGGTGGATTGGGCGCCCCAGCACATGTATGGACACCTTGACAAGTCCAATCTCTTTGACGAACTTTCTTGGTGGGAGAAACAGAACCTTGAGGTGGATGGTATGGCGGTGGAGTACCGTAAGGAACTTGAGACGGCCAATCATCTTATAGCCCCCAACCCTCGTTTTTTCACTGAACTTGCGGCACTGTACCAAACAGTCACGCCTTGATCCCCAGTTCATCCAAGAGTGTGTGACTCTTCCGGCCCTACGCACCTGCTGGAGGGACAAAGGTACTATCTCCACTGAAGCCGAGTCTGAGATTGCCTGGGACACAATGGGTCGCGCCATGCGATCTCTTCCTGCAGGACTACAAAGGTGGTCTACTAAACATTGTGTGGGCATGTGCGCCACAGGCAAATTTAAAGTTCTATGGGGTCTGGAGACATCAGCAGCTTGCCCACGCTGCGGCGACTTTGAGGATCATCTGCATGTTCCTTGCTGTTCAGCTGCTTTGGCAACAGCTGAATGGGATCGTCGCACTGCAGCCTTCTCCGCGTGGCTAGTCCTGCAACTGACAGGCCCTTCCATCAAAATAGCGATCCTACAGCTTCTTCAGGGCGTTCGCACACCTCCTTCATTTCCCCCAAGGCCCATCTCCTCTTCGGTTCGGCCGTCTTCTTGGCTCAGCAGGTGATTGGGTCTCAAGGCCTTTTGGAGGGACGCATCGCCTCGTCTTGGCTTCCACTCCAACAACAATATTATGACAAGATACGATGTCAACGATCTGTCTCTCTTTGGGCGTCCCGCCTCTCACAACAGCTGATCTCCATCGGCTTCTACATGTGGGAGCAATGGAACTCCGTTCAACATTCGGATGATAACGTTCAATTATGTTAATGTCACAGTACTGTCAATGAGGGGATTCACTCACAGTTTGATATGGGTCTTGATGACTTGCCTAAGGAAATTCGACCGATGCTAACAAGCCGTCGACGAGTCCTTCGCAAGTCATTGGTAGACAAGGAAGAGTGGCTTAAGTTGCTTCATCAGGAACGCAGAGATTTCTGTCGCTCCATGAAAGCACAACGCCGCAGTCTGCGGACTATTTTCTCCCCTGGACCCTGACCAACTTTTTGCAGGACCTTACATGCCCCGAATTCACCCCGCCACGTTGCGGGAGAAGTCTTTACCCCCTTGGGACACTTGAGCAACTTCTGTTCAAAATACAGATGCCTCATATGGTTCAAACTTGTTGTTGACTCACCGCTTCACAGTACTTGACCTTTACAGCCAAATCTTTCACCGGCAATCGAATGCCCATAGAGTAGCATATTAACGATTAAAGCCACCTTAGCTGACGCTCTGTTGCACGGTCGCCTGCGTGTGATCAGCGATGGATCCTTCAAGAACGAGTTGGGGACCGCGGCGGTTCAAATCCTGGTGAAGCATGGAGGATGCCATCATATCATCATCCGGTGTCAGACTCCCGGTTTGCCCCAGGACCAGAGTCCATACCGCAGCGAGCTCATTGGTCTGTTGGCCGGTATAATGGCGGTCGATTGGCTCCTTGAGCAATGGTTCCCAAAAATTTCGATCGAACCCAAGGTGCGGATTGCTTGCGACGGCCTCTCTGCTATTGAGATGGCTTTCGAAGACCGTCCACTGTCTCCAACTGATGCTCAGTTTGACCTGGTATCGTCCATTCGGAAGCGATCCTTCGGTCCTCGGTGGATTGGGCGCCCCAGCACATGTATGGACACCTTGACAAGTCCAATCTCTTTGACGAACTTTCTTGGTGGGAGAAACAGAACCTTGAGGTGGATGGTATGGCGGTGGAGTACCGTAAGGAACTTGAGACGGCCAATCATCTTATAGCCCCCAACCCTCGTTTTTTCACTGAACTTGCGGCACTGTACCAAACAGTCACGCCTTGATCCCCAGTTCATCCAAGAGTGTGTGACTCTTCCGGCCCTACGCACCTGCTGGAGGGACAAAGGTACTATCTCCACTGAAGCCGAGTCTGAGATTGCCTGGGACACAATGGGTCGCGCCATGCGATCTCTTCCTGCAGGACTACAAAGGTGGTCTACTAAACATTGTGTGGGCATGTGCGCCACAGGCAAATTTAAAGTTCTATGGGGTCTGGAGACATCAGCAGCTTGCCCACGCTGCGGCGACTTTGAGGATCATCTGCATGTTCCTTGCTGTTCAGCTGCTTTGGCAACAGCTGAATGGGATCGTCGCACTGCAGCCTTCTCCGCGTGGCTAGTCCTGCAACTGACAGGCCCTTCCATCAAAATAGCGATCCTACAGCTT